GTGGAGTGTCTCTGGATGAGGAGTGAGCAGGACTCAGGGCATTGTGATGAGGGGCTCATCCTGCTTGCTGTGGCTTCTGCTGTGTGCAGCCATTGGCATGGCTCCCACCTACCTCCTGTGGCCCCTGCATCCCCCGCAGCCAGGGCACCTGGGTCTGGACTTTGTGTCTGACCCATGACTAGCAGTGCCAGGCAGATGCTTTGACCACCTGTGGTGGGGAAGGGTGAGAGGGAGGGCGAACATGGGTCTTAGATTTTGGGGAGTAGAGCCCAGAGATGCCAGTCAGGCCCCCTCTTTCACCATTGGCTGGACCAGATGGCAGCAGATCTGGCAGCCAGATGGGTTAGAGCCTGCCTGTGGAGTCCTGGGCAGGGAGGAGCAGTCCCCCAGGAGCCAGGAGAGTGCCCCAGACCTGGCTGGAGGGGCAGGGCTCGAGCCCCACCCTGGGCCTCGGCACCCTTTCCTCCTCTCAGTTGGTGCCTACTGGCTACCTTGGGACTTAGGCAAGTGGCCTTGCAGTGCCAGAACGAGGGAGGGCAGCGCCGGGTAAGGGAAAGAGCACTGTTCTGGGAGTCAGGAGTTCCAGACCATCATCCTGACTCTGCCCCTGACTTGTGCGGCTGCGGGAGGGCAGCTTCCTCTCTCTGGGCCTCAGTACCCCGTCTGTAAGGGGCATGGGCTCCCTTGAAGTCCAACAGACCCTGGATGGGTAAGTCACATCACGTCTCTGCAAAACAGGCACCGGGTGTCCCTGTCCACGCACATTTGTCGTGAGGTATAAATAGCGCTTAGCACAGGGCCTGGCTCTAAAGTGGAAATAACTATTTCTCGTGTCCTTGGAGTCAGTGAAGGAACATCTTGTCCCCATATTTCTCAGGAGGAAGTGGAGGACCCAATGGGGAGAAGACCTGCCATAAGCACTCACAGCCAATGGCAGGACTTGAACTGGGGTCCTCTCACTACAGGTCGTGCTGTGCAGACGCTGGCCTGGGAGCCATTGTCCTCTGTCCCTTGGCTCTCTGCTTCCCTCTCCCCTGCAAGGAGTGCCTCCCGTGTGAGTGCTTCCTGACCCCTGACTTCTCTCCCTTCTGGTTGCAAGCCTGGCATGACTTACTGCTGTCAGTTAACCGAGTCACCCTCCACCTAGCCCCTCCGCAGGATCAGTTCTCTCTTGGCCCACTTTCCACCGATTCTGCTCCCCACGCTCACTGCCCTTAGTGGGACAGGCCTGTGGGGACCCTTTAGATGGCACGTTTTCTGTGGCACCTGCCTGCGACCTGCAGGACCCTGAGGCCCTCAGGCACGGGCACGTGAGCACGTGTGTGGGCTGTGGAAGGGGGGATTGAAGTCGGCTGTCACAATGCTCCTGGGGCTCCAATCACCCACCCATCCCCTGCCATGGCCCAGGAACTTGGCCCTGGTCCCGTCTGTCCCTCCCCATCTACAGGGGTACAGCGTGTGTTCACGGTCGTGCTCCTCATCCCAGCGTGTCAAAGCCATGCTCAGCCACCTCCAGGGCTCCCACCCCTGGCCACCAGCCCATGGCATGCGGGCCTACTCTTGAATACCACATGCGTGTTGCAGATGGGGGCACACGTGCTGGCTCGCATGCCTGCCATGGCCCTAGGGAGCGAGGAGTCTGGCAGGAACAGTCCCCCTGATGCAATCATCGGCTCATTCTCTCAGCACCACGGAGGCAGGGCTGGCTCCTCGCTGCCCCCCACCACCGGGCACAGCTGCCAGCCTCAGCCTCGAGGACACAGGGGAGGCAGTGAATTAGTGGTCGTGCCTCTTACTCAGGGTGGCACTTATGCTCAGGATGGGGGGCCTGTCCGAGGCAGTGCCCACACCCCTGCGCTGGGCTCTCAAATGTTCGGAGATGTGTGTGTGTGTGTGTGTGTGTGTGTATGTGTGCGCACAGGTTAGAGTTGCCAAGGAGACCTTTTCCTCTTCTCCCACCCCTTCCTCCCTCTCCCTGCTCTCCGGCCATCTCTCCATCAGCAGGATCCTGCAGCCTGGGCCCTGCCCATCCCCCCGAAGGGAGGGAAGGAAGAAAATGGAAAAATGAGAAAGTGAAAAGAAAGAGGAGAAAGGAGAGCTGAAAAGATAGAAGGATGTCAGAGAAGAGACAGATGGGGTGACAGATGGATGGGGCTGGGTTGGCTTTGCCCCCTGAAGCCACATAGGCCACCTCTGTGGTCCCCATCAGAGACAGGGAGAGAGCTGGCCATCTACACCTCCGTCCCTTCAAGTCCTCCTCTGAGTCACCGCTGGCTCTTCCTGTGACCTGGTGGCCGGACCTCCCCCCATGCACTCTACGCTCTTCTGAACGTGCTCCATGTCATCAATGAGGTGGTCAGCCAGCTCCAAGCCAAGCAGGACTACCACCTCCTTTGCAGAGAACATTAGATTCCCATTAATACAGCCTCCAGGCACATTTGCCCTTTATTTTACTTGTTGATTTCTAAAGCAGAGTTATCTTGGCACCTGATGAGCTGGACGCCTTGTGACCCCTCCCCCTCTAGCCCCAGTCCTTTGTTCCACAGGCATTGCTGCAAACCAGGCCTGGGCAAGGTGATGTTCAAACCACAAGCTCAACTCCAGTGGGGACTCCGAGAATGGCACCCCAGAGTGCTGAAACCTGAAGATGGTGGTGTGTGCTTCCAAAATTCAGAGAGTGATGGGGAGGAGGAAGGACTTTGAGTCCCTTAATAATAATAATTGAGCATTTACAGTGTGTCAGCTACTGTGCTCATTTCATTTAATCCTTGGGACAGCCCTGGAGGTAGGGAATACTATTAAGTCTATTTTGCAGATGAAGAAACCGAGGCACAGAGATGTTAGGATACTCATCCAAAATCACACAGCCTGTAGGTCGTGGGGGCACTCTAACCACTGCGCAACACTGCCTCTTCTCTCCCCCGGGGCAGAGACTGAGGTGGCCTCAATGGTCACTAAGCTCTCACATGTGGAAGCCGTCCCCTCCTGGGGACAGGCTAGAGGGTCTGGAGCAGGGAGGTGGCGGGGCAGCCCTTCCTCCACTTCCCAGCATACGCTTCTAGCCTCTAGCGGTGTTCTTTGCCCTGCCGGCTGCCCACTAGCTGTGCAGCCCCCGAGGACGGGCCTCTCTTCTCTGCCTCTGAATTGCAACGTTGGCGGCAGAAGCGGGAAGCATATTGTGCACAGAAACAAAACTGAGTGGTTTTTCCTTTTTCTGAAGGTGGTAATGGTGCAATTAGTGGCTAAGCCATTACCCCCTCCCTTGCTCGCCTCCCCCCCTTTCCCTCTGCCTCCCTCCCATTTCTCTCCTGGGAAGAAGTGGCTGCATCGGAGATCCAACCCGTCATCCTTTCCCACCCCCGACTCCCAGGCAGAGGGGCAGAGTTGCAAGGGGGACCCAGATGTCACACCGGTCCTGAACCTGGGGTAGTAAGGCAGGGACCTGCTGGGGTTGGGAATTACCAACAAGCAGACAAGGTATCCAGAAATGAGGCGACCAGTAAGGCAATTGGGAGGTTCAGAAGGGGTGGGCTAGAATCCCGAGGGTTTGCATCCTAGATCCTTTGATCTGATCTGTGCCTGTTGTGGGCTACTGCTGGCGTGAGGCCTCAGCCTGGTGGGCTGTGAGACGAGCTTGAGCGGATGGGTGGATGTGAAGGGTCTGAGATTCTAAGTCCAAGCTGGAGTGATAGGGGTGGTCATGGTCCTGCTTTACACCTTCCTTTTTATCTTCTAGAAATGAAAAAGAGGCCTCGTGTTTACATACTTCCCAAAGGCCTCCACAGCCCTTAGCCCACTCCATCTTCGCAGCCTTCCTCTGCAGTGGTAGCTTTGTTCTGTTTGGTAGAAAAGGAGCTGGAGGCTCAGAGAAGGACAGTGACTTTCCTAGGGTCACACAGCTAATAAATGTCAGAGCTGGAATCGAACTCAGATCCTTAAACTCCAGTCCTTTTCCATCTTAACCCCCCAGCCTTGGGGTGAGATCTTGGGGCTGTAGATATGGCTGCTGCCCTGAAGAGTTGAAGTTGGCAGGAAAAGTGTCCACAAAATTTTGGAATGAGGATTTCAGGGCAGGTCCATGGCCACTCCCCTTCATGCCAGGCCACACTTCCCTCCCCACAGCCTCCTCCGCCTCTTTCACCTTGACTCGAAGCACAAGCAGAAACTGGGACATGAGCCCCAGGAGACCAGATTTCCATGGTCCCTCTGGAGGCCTGGGGTGGGGGAGAGGTTGCAAAGAGGCTTCAGGAGCAGACCAACTGTCATGGCCATGAGGGGTAGGGGTGAGCAGGCAGCCAGGGCTGTTCCCTCCAGAATCCTGGTGTCTTCTCTGCACTTCTCGCCCAAGCTGGAGTGCCAGTGTGATGGACAAGGTGGCAAAAAGCAGAGAGGGCAAGAGCAAAATAAGACAGACAGAGGCAGAGGCAAAAGAAAAAAATATATAGAGGGGAGCAGAGAGACAGGTACAGTGATCTACTCAGAGAGAGGGATCTCCATGAATTAGCTATCAACCGATAGCTGTAAACCTTAGAACCCAGCTGTTGCCAGGGCAACGGGGCAATACCTGTCTCCCCAGAGGAGATGAAGTTGCCAGGGTAACTGCATCCTGTCTTTCCTGGGGACCATCCTGGAATGTGGCACCCACTGACTGTTACCATGGCAACTGCCTTTTTGCCCCACTTAATCCCATCCTGTCTGCTACAAGGGCCCCACAGTTGGAGATGGGGGAGGTGGGAAGAGAGAAGATCACTTGTGGACTAAGTTTGTTCTCTTCGCCTCCTCCAGCCCCGCCCTTGGGTCATCACCTCCGGGGAGCTGGGGCCACCCACCCCCGGACCCACAGAGGCCTGCAGTATTGTGTGCAGTAGGGCCAGGGCGTCCCGGAGCAGGTTTCACAGTGGAAGGCAGGCAGGTGTTGGGGAGGCAGTTACCGGGGCAACGGGAACAGGGCGTTTCGGAGGTGGTTGCCATGGGGACCTGGATGCTGACGAAGGCTCGCGAGGCTGTGAGCAGCCACAGTGCCCTGCTCAGAAGCCCTGGGCTCGTCAGTCAAGCCGGTTCTCAGTTCGCACTCGGCAGCAGGGGTAGGCGAGTGGCCCCTAGTTCCGGGAGCAGAGCAGCAGCGCCCCAGTCCTGGTCCTCCAGCCCCGAGCCTCGCCTGCCCTCCCAGCGCCAGGATGGCCACCATCACCTGCACACGCTTCACGGAAGAGTACCAGCTCTTTGAGGAACTGGGAAAGTGAGTTGCACCTCAGAGAGTCCTGGAGGGTGCAGGGGGTCAGCGTCATGGGCGGAGGGTGTGCACCTGCCGTGCTTCCTGTGCACACACAGGGAGGAAGGCTGCGTGTGCTTGGGGGCACTTGCATGTGCAGGGTGCCCAGAGCCGGGCATGGGCATGTTTGCGGGTGCACCAATGTGCCAAGGCCAGCCAGGCATGTGTGTCTAGGGGTGAAGTGTTGACAGTGCATGTCAGTGCGCGCGCGCACACACACAAATGCACATCACCTGGGCACACACAGATTCTTAGAAACTCAGGGTTAAAAAGGGATCTTCCCAATCAACTGAGTCGAAGGCTGGACTCCCCTGTCGAGTTTCTCTTGAGGTGGCCATCTGGCCTCAACTTGGATATCTCTGATGACAGAGAGTTCCCTACCTCCCAGGTAGTCCTTCCTGACTCCAGACACCTGCAGTCGCTGTGCAGAGTGGCAGACTTCTCCCTGTAAACACATCCCTCCCCTCCTTCCTCCTCCCAGCTCCTCTGGAAGTGAGGGCATCAGTACAGCAGGGGTTAATAACTGAGCGACCAACCGAGGAGGCTTCCTGGGCGTTTGGAGGAGGGGAGGGGCAATCGGGCTAGTTGGAGGGGACACTGCTGTTGCAGAGGCTAGTGGCGTGAGGGTGCCCCAGCTCTGGTCCCTGGGCCAAGTTGTCCAGCCCCAGAGCTCATTTTCTACCTCCGATGACTAGTGTGGAGAGAAGAGTGGGAGGATGGGGGTAGAGGGGAGCCCCTTGGGGTAGCCCAGTAGGCTGTGGCGTGTCAGGGAAGCGTTCCTGGATGTCCCCAGCTAGGTTGGCGGAGGATCTGGGATGGGTCCAGGGTAGGGTGCAGTTTGGGGCAGAGTTTGCCCTGTGGGCAGAGCAGCTCCAATGCCCTGGGTGGTCCCTGCTGTAGCAGCAGGAGTGCGGGGGAGACGGGCCCTGTAAGCAGGGACGTGCTGGTGTGAGGTCTGGCTGTGCACACACAAGTGTGCATTTTAATGTGTATTGTTGTATAAGGACTGACTCGGGTACACTGTGTGCACTGAAAGGGTATGTGAGTGTTCATGTGTGTGCGCCAGGAGGAGATGCTGGAGTGTGTTTCATGTGTCAGTCCTGAAAATGCGAGTGTGCCCTGCAAGGGTGCCTGTGTGTGAGTGGCATAAGGGGTGCTGTTGGCTGATTTGCATGGGAGTGAAGGTGTGAACATGCATCACTGTGTGTGCACATGTGTGGCAGTTCAGAGCTGTGTGCACATCAGCAGGCAAATGTGTGTGAGGTCTGGGCGTGTGCAAATATATGTCTGTGTAAGGATGCAAATATATGTGCGTGGGACTTTGGCACAGTGGTGTCCCTGTGAGGTCTGGATGTGCACATCCTTGTGAGGACTAGGGGGCGTGCACACAGGAAGGTTTACGTGTGTGCATGTGGGGCCTGGGCCCACAGGCTCGGGTGGGAGTGTGGGTGTTGTAGGCATGTGGAGCTCATGCTGGTGTCTGCCTATGCGTGGGAGGTGGGCCTGTGGCCGTGTACAAGTAGGCTGCCTGCACACACACATACACGCACACACGCTTACACACCAGGCTATCCTGGCACCTACAGGCACATGCCAGCTCCCTTGTACAGACACACATCCATGTGCAGACGTGTGCTCACTCTTGTCTGCAGACTTCCTGTCTTTCTGAGTGTGTTTTTGTGCTGGGGGCAGCGGGGGTAGCAGGAACAAAATGTTTAGGGCTGCTCTGGAGGATGGGCTGTCTGCTAAACTTGTGCAGAGCCCCTGTCTCAGCTGGTTTCCAGTGCCCCCTGGAATCCAAGGATGCCCTGATTAGCTGGGAGCTGCCTTTCGGGATGTGACCCAGGCTGGGTTCTGGGAAGACTGCATCACAGAGTGTGTGCCGAGGAGTTGAGATGTGACTCAGGCCCTCAAAGTGAAAATAAAAGTGATATTTTGCCCCAAGAAGAGATGGATATCATGAGGACGGGTGCTGTGGGGGCGACTTGGCAGAGAAAGCCTTCATGAGCCGTCTCAGTCACAGTGCCTGCCAGGGCGCCTGGAGGGACCGGGGCAGGGGCAGAATTCAGGGGATAGGGAGCCCTGTTGTGGCCACGGCAGGAACACCAGGGGTGGCAGGCATGGCCAGTCCTTGTCTAATCAGTTCTGGCCCTCTTCCCTCCAGAACCACTGGTGCTCTTAACCTTTTTTAGGTCACATATTCCTCCAGGAATCTGATGAAAGGCTAAGTCTGCATTGCTCAGAGAAATGCACAAACCTACGAAATGTTGCCTGTAACGTCAGGAGCTTGCAGGGCATGGGAAGGCTATGGATGGGCCTTAGGTTAAGGATGCTTGGACTGGAAAAAAGGGGATGAGGCTCCACACCTCTGAGTGGCCAGGGTACCACTGAGGACGGGGAGCACAGCATGGCAGCTACAGTCCAAGCGCCCAGTGGAACAGGTAGGGGCAGCACCCAGCAGAGGGCGCAGGTTCTGGACCTCATCACCCATAGCTTTGTGATACTGGGCAGCTATGGCGCCTCTTCCGCCACCTATAATCTGGAGATAAAAAGGCCTGTGAGGGTGAAATGAGATGGTATGCGTGAACACATGGTGACAAGCTTGGCACACAGTGGGTCTTCAACAAGAGATGGCTGCGGGATCATTGTTGCCCCCAAAGGCTGGGCAGACTGGAGCTGGGGCTGGGTGCTGCCACAGATTTACCTTTTGCCTGGAGTTTGCCTGGCTGCAGGAAGGAGCTGACCAAGCCTTGCCCCTCCTGGGCTGTCAGGGATTCAACAGCTCCTCTTCTGTCAGGAGAGTCAACCAAGATGCCTGAGGGCCCATCCTTCCATTGGTGACCCGCCATGCCTGCCGGCTAGGACGCCACAGTCACCACCGAGAAGCTGAGCTCCCTTCAGATCACTGGCAGAAGCAGCTGGGTTGGCCCTGCAAGGGGACATAGGAGCCTTTGGACCTCCTGCAGGCCCTGGGCGGCCTGCCCAGTGAGCCTGGCTCGTGACTGCAGGCCTTCGAGGAGCCTGGGGTAGAGCTAGCTAGGGATGCAAGAGGTGCCGCCCCTCTCCCGCCTAGTGGGCAGCCGGCTGGATGGCCAGGGCTTTGGGGGCCTCTTGATGCTGCTGGACAAAGGAGCCACTGCAGCATATGCTCCAGATAAGCCAGGAACTTGATTCCAGGTCCCCTAGAGGGTTGAGGTGGGGCTGCCTCTGGGGACCCAGAGACTAGCTCACTCCCTCCTCTCTTGACCCGAATCCTCCTTCCTCCCAGGGGACCGGGGGACGGGAGAAATGAAAGCCCAGACCTCAGAGGCAGAGCAGCTTGTTCGGAGGTGGGATGCAGCAACGCCAGCCCCAGGGTCAGGGTGGGCCTGGGCAGTGGGGCCAGAGCTCCTGGCAGACCAGGGTCAGGGGAAGGGGTCAGGTTCCACGAGGTGGAGAAGGAGGACACCTCCTCCAGCCTTGGACACTCTCAGAGCTTTGAGTCCTGCTCCCAGGAAAGGTTAGAGAGGCAGAGGGTTGCCCTGAAGCCTGTGTAATCACTGGGCTGTGCAGAAAAGGAGTTTTACTGGAGAGAGGAAGAGGGAGGGAGCGAGAGAGACTGGAGAGAGTGCAACCCACTCTTTCTCTCTAGAAACAGGCATCTGAAATTGACTCTAGGGCAGTGTTGGGGCTAGGGGAGGGTTCCAGGGGCCAGCAAGGTTGGCAGAGACAGGGGAAAGAGCTGGCCCAGGAGCCCCCCACCCTCTCTTACCTCCATGTATTTGTATCATGGCCTGGGCTTGAGCTGGACTGATTAGTGGGGGACACTGGGGCCCAGAGGTAGCTCCCTGCAGTAGGGGGGTCCAGGGTCCCCGGTGCTTAGGTTCCTTCTTGGATGCAAGCTCTAACATCTGCAAAATGTGTTTAGCAATCCCGCCCTTCCCTGGCAGAGCTGTTAGGGGGATCAGTGGTGTAAGACTGGAGAGAGAGATGTTGGACATTGATGCACCACCCAGAGCCGACGGCTGTGCTTTTACTTTGCTTCTCATAACCTCTCACATTCACAGCACTTTGGGGCCAGCAGGCGCTTCTCCATCCATTAACTCATCTCTGAGGGAGGCAGAGGGCTTATTCCTCCATCTTACAGATGAGCAGACTGAGGCTTGAGGAGGTGGAATGACTGGCTCAGGGGGCTGGTGACAGCCTTTGCACCTGTGTGGTCTCCAGCACCCTGCATATGGGTGGAAGTTGGAGGAGGGGGACCACGCCTGGTGCTGTGTCTAGGGGACCCTGCTAGGGAAGAGGGGCAGTGGCCTTGTGGACGAGGGAACTCTGAGCTGTCGTTTACTTTCCAATCATGATTCTGCCTCTAATTTTCTGGGCCACCCTGGGTGAATCTATTGTCTCTTGTATACCTCAACTTTGCATCTGTAAAATGGGGATCAGAATACCTCTGCAGGGGCTCGAATGACCCATTAGAGTTGCTTCCCTCTTTAGCCTCCCTCTGTGGAAGGCACACATGGGAAATTTCAGACTCTCACAACATCAGGACTGGAAGGACCGTCGACCCTGTCTACTCATAGCATAGCCAGTGAGCCACCAGCCAGGGAGAAATGGTTTGGCCAAGGCCACAGGGAGAGGCCATGGCAAAGCCAGGGTAGGGGACCACATGGTGTGCAGGGGCCAGAGGGCAAGGATGGGAAGTTGGGGTGCAGGTCCTCAAGGAGGGGTGGCACGGACAGGGGAGGGGACAGCCTTTCCTCCCTCCCCCTCTAAGCCATCAGAGCCGCAGGCAAGCACATGTTCTGGTGCATGCCGCAGTCCTCCGCCCCCACGCAGCCGCCCCCACACAGGCTGAGCCACACTGACACTGTGCCGAGCCTTCCTCCCGCCTGCCTGCTTCCCTACACAAACATACAGTGACACTGCTGCCGGCACCCCTGCAGTCTGGGGCCCCGGCCTCTCTGTGGAGTGAGGGCAGAGCCTCG